GTCATATTATACTATTTTACAATATTCATCAAAATTCATTAATTATGACAAACATTGTTTAAAACTAATTAACCATTACCATGTTCTTTTGGCATGCTTATGGAAGGCACACTGGGGAAATGGGAGAAATGCTGTATGCGGGGCGCTGTCATTCTACAAGTAAATCACTCTTTACAACATTATTTTAGCAATTCTTCCAGCTGATAAAACTCAAACAACAATTTAAATCGCTTCTTATATTCTTCATAATGATAATAATCCTCTAATTCATCTATAATAGCATTTAGTCTGGCGTTATACATTCTAATATTTCTTCTTTCGACTAGCCAATCTGTTTTACTTTCTTTGTTTTGTTTCTTAGGAAACAAATAATCCATATATATATATATATATAAATTATTGACATTTTTGAACATTTTTAAGATAACAAAAAATTGCCTTAAGAAGTTCCAACAAACCATGACAACACATTTTATATCTTGGAGTTTTTACTATTTCATCAAATTTTTCTATCTCATTTATTACTTCTATATATTGATCCATATATGTTTAAATGATATAATTTCTAACTAGTAATAATGAGTGGTAATATACCATCAATAGAACCAATAGAACCAAAAACATATGATTATAAACAATCTAGATTTGATGTTGCTGATAAACTACCGTTTAAGTCTATTATATGTGCACGTAGTCAAGGTGGTAAAGGTATTTTACTCCAGAACCTCATTTTAAAAATATATAAGAACTGCTTTGAACGTATTTACATCTTTTCACCGACTGCTTCTGTTGATGACAGCTGGATACCAGTAAAACGTTATATAATTGACCATCTCAAAGCTGACAATGATACAGAGCAATACCTATTTGATGATTACAACCTCAAGCATTACAAAAGATTATTGACACTCAACATAAAGTAATTGAATATCAAAAGAAAAATAGAATCAAACACTTATTTTCGGTGCTCATCGTAATCGACGATTTTGCAGAAGATCAACGATTTAAAAATACCCTAAACTATTGCACGGTTTATATACGAAATCAAGACACAATGCAATATCTGTTTTAACATCAGTTCAAAAATACACTGCCGTCGCTCCTATAATTAGGTTGAATAGTAGTTCCTTATATGTTCTTAAACTAAGAAACATGCGCGAAGTCGATGCATTTATTGAGGAAAATTCCGCACCGGTTGACAAACATCGTTTATATGAAATGTATCAACAAGCAGTGAATTTTAAACCTTATTCATTCTTCTTCATTAAATTACGGTCTCAAAATATCAACAATATGTTTTATATAAATTTAGACCATGTATTTAAAATTGATGAAGATGAAACTGTATAAAGACATGTTTGCATAAGTTTTTATAGGATATTGTGCCAAGAAAAGAAATAAACTATTCTAATACTCATTTTTATAAAACCGTGTGTGAAGATTTACAAATTAATGAATGTTATGTAGGGCATACAACAAATTTTACAAAGCGAAAAACACTCATAAAAACAACTGCAACAACACCAGTCATAACACTTATTTATATCGATTTATGAGAGAAAACGGTGGTTATAACAATTTTGGTCAGCAACTTACCGTCAAGTAATACCAAACCCTCATTTTGAGGTCGAAGGCAAACCAATAGCCTGTACAGCAGCAGTACATCCATCCTTCGGCCTGCATAGCCACTTCATTTCGAGGTGGCTACTAGCGCCTCCGCCATCCGCTTCACACTAAGAAGCGATAAGAAACAATTTCGCCGCAATCTATCCCTATGTCATCGCCATGAGGACTTGACAAGCTGACAACCAATGCCTTGGGGGGGCTGCTCTTGAAGGCCCTGATGTCCACATCCACTGTGAAGCATGTGAGTGACTCGCAACTCCTGTTCGTGGGATCGAAATCAACTGTAATTCCTGTGGCGTGTTTTGTAAGACTTGGGTCGCATATGAGCGGACTCTGAATTTGGGAAGTTGCCATCTTGTGAAAGTGCGGGCCCATGCCTTGCAAGTACTCGAGGTCCAAGGCAGACACGTGCACCGACTTCACGCCGGGAGGGATGCTATTGTTGATCACAATGGGTCGCGGCCACAAATGAAACTTGCCTTCCACATCAGCATCGGTACATGGGATGTTGTCGCCTTGGCATCCTCGAACCTCAAGCCGAAGCGTGTGACTCATCTCGTACATCAACTTGTTGGGAAGAATCACCATCATGTCAGCATAGTGGACGTGCCCCTGGCAGGGGAGATTCAGAGTTGAGGTCCAATGCCCGTCCCCGCAACAATCGCCTAGGACCAATTTGAGGCCCTCAGCGGGCGTCAGAGCCGTCCAGCAAGTGTAAATGGTGTGCCCTAGGGGCAGTACCGTGCGCTTCCGTCTCACCACCAGCTTCTTGCCTTCACTCAGTGCTTTTGTCATGGGGTCTCTGTCCACGGCGGATTGGTAAAAGTTCTGGTTGTAGATGTGCTCACTCTTGTCATCCCCAGCATACCTTAGGTATGTTTTGCACTTGAATTCTGCATTTTTGACGGACCGACCTTTACTTAAGCACAAGCACGTTACATACTGAACCAAGACAAGCATGTAAAATGAATCAGACGTTCTGGCCCAGGCACTGTTTCTGAACATCTCCACCACGGTTATCAAACGTGGTTTTCAAGTTTCGTAAAGCTGGGTGCTGCCCCCCCCCCGGCTTTGGGCATGATCGCATCCAACAGGCCCTTTCGGGCTCATGCAGCGCACCCGCACCATGACCATCATTTCCGCTGCCCTCACATGGCTTGATTTGCCCTGAGTTCTTGTAACCCACCAGCCCATTGCGATTATAGATAATTCTGCCAGTGTTGGTGCCGTCGCCGTAGCTGTTCCCGTGGATGTGCTTCGACCTGTCATCACCTGCATATTGCTTGCCGATGACCGCACCAGCGTTCTGGAAAATCACGTCCTTGTGAATTATGTGCTTCAATTGCTTCACATCCACCTGCCGAGTTTCGACAGAAGGCTGGCATACCATCACCACGAGAAGCAGGGAGCAGGCCAGAAGGAAGCTTCCCAAGACCGCGCTGCCAGCAGGGGAGCATCTTCGCGAGGCAGTGGTCTGCAAGGAATCTTCATCACACGACTCTTCTTCACGAAGAAGAATCAAGGCATTCTCATCAGCCATGGTCTTGCGGTTTATGCTTCAGCACATGGGCAGTTGCTTTGAGCAGGCTACGAACCGCGCATCAGGTGAACAAGAGAAGAGTGCAAGACCACGGTTGCCTTCAAAACGTTACATGCATGAGGGGTCAACCATATTGGGATGACTGTGGAGTGGAATACAGCAGACAACACTGCAGGCGCAGGAACCTCAAACAAAGGAAGACTTCGTATCGGCGTATCAGCAAGAAACAACCCTGAATGCTTTGCCACGTGTGGAAGTCTTGAAAACACTTTCCGTGTACGAATATGATCAAGAAGGGTGCAACAAAAGCCTGGCATTCAGCAAAACACCGTTCATGCTGCAGCACATGCAAACACTGCAAAACCATTCTGTCCTCGTCGTCAGCAAGCCGATGCCATAGTTCAAACTCCTAGTATTTGTTCTTATTCGCTGCTCGTAAACCGCTTGCTATAAAAATCTCATATATTCGAGGGACCAACATATGAGAGCCAATATAAAAATTCTTCAACTCACAAATATTATAACATGCAATCGCTCGTCAGCTGCTTTTTCAATCACTCAATGGGGATGGTCCACACTGCCTGAGGGCACAAACGGCTAGGGATAGGCCCATCACCAGACCCAACCAACATGAAGCGAAAAACTCAACTTCAAGCGTGGGAAAGGGCGGGAAAAGAAAACTTCAGCTCAGTGAGCCAGACTGCACTGCATGAAGCTTCTCACTATCCATGAGTTGAAATCAAATCAAGCAAGCTAATTTGCCCAAGCAAATTTTTACGGACCTACGAATAAAGTCACATCCCCTTTTCGAGTGGCTGTTTGGGGAGTGTTGACATAAGCTCTATGATAATAACCCTATATTCCCCCTATATAACCTCCTTTAAAGAGCTTATACTCAGACTATAGCTCATATGAATCTCATTGCAATGAATATTCCACGAACCTGTTGGCCAGAGCCATTTTGTAAAGCGTCTTAAAGGGCATAGCATGTCCCACCTCAGACAGAGCAGTCGATGGCGGATATGTAGAATAATGTAGAGGTGTACAGGGCCGCTTGATGAACAATCGACTCATTGGGTGGCCGTGGTATTATTCCCCAAAATGGGCAAGGGTTCTGCTAACTGATACATGCACCGGCCTTCGTGCACGAGTTGCGCTTCATCATGGAAATGACATTGGAGTGCAGCTCCCCAGCCTGTGGATCCACAGCACATGCCAGTTGGCCCACTAAATAGCTGAGTACAACCCGCCAAATGCCACTTGCGAGTCTTCTGCCCCTACCAGCCCAACTGATGTATGTCTGATCTCTCGCAAACGTCGCCTCCTTCATGCGCGTGGCTTGCAGGACGGCATTGAGTCCGATCGTGATGTCCTTTAAACTGTTGCCAGTGGGTGTCCGTTCGAAGTTCGATGAAGCACGAGGTGTACTGTGGTGCCAACCCCAAGGAGTAGATACTGTTTACCTCGGCTACACCTTGCGAACCTTGCAGGCAAGACAGGGCGCACCGTCATCGCGTTGGCCATCTTCATCTGGATCTGGCACAGCACGGACCACGAGCAATATCTCCCGAATGCAAAAACTTAGAATCTGACTCCTCCTCCAAGGCATTTTTTGATGAGATTTTGCTGTGAACCGGCCGTGCCCTAACAGCAAACGAACAGCGAAGCCTGGCCACTAACGGGAACAGCGAACACAACGAGCTTAAATTCGTCTTCCATGTCCCTAGCCAGATTTTCATTGCAGCATCCCTCTGCGCACCAGCTGGTTGGCCGCGAGTGGGCGGCCAAATTGCTGCCGGCCCAAAGTGTAGTTCCTGACACTCGAGACTCGAAACCATCTCTGTAGTTTTGGACGAGAATCCATCAAGGCTGGCCTTGCAGCTTCAAGGCAAAACTCTGCAGCACCCAGAGCACCCCAGGCGATACCTGCCAGAGACCGACCCTCCCCACAAAGCAAAGCGGGGTCCGCATAACGGGCACCGAGCCGAGCTGAATTCAGGCAGGCGAAAGGCCCACGCATGCCGACAACGTTTGGCCTCGCATAAAAAAGTCATCAAGCTGCGTCTTGCGCATGGGTGGAACGCTCTTTGACGCCGGCAGAACGTTGTCCTTTGGAACTTTGACGTCATCAAGCTGAATCATACCCTCGGTCCAATGCACAAGTCTGTGTCACACTCGCCGAAGCTCTGGAGTTTCGGTTCTGGAAAAGATCCACAGTGCGACCTGGAGTTTTCCTCTGAGTTGTGACACAGAGAACTTCTGAACCTTTCCAGCTCAAAACGCCAACAGCACGAGGACTCACTCGGGTGTCTAGGACCAAGGCCGTGGGAGATGCCCGAAGAGAAAACTTGCCCTCGATCTTCGGAGTGGAGAGGCCCTTGATTTGACACTGCAAACGTCTGTCAGGCTCCTGAGATGTCACAGGTCCTCCATCCCCCGCTCTACCAGGAAGCCGCGTACCTGCCATGGAACGCTGCGGCAGGTCCGGGCAGACGGTTCAACGGACGGCACCTTGTTGTCAGTGCTCGTCTTCGCCCATACCAGGCAAACGTCAGCGATCGGAGAGTTGGTGATCCAGTTCTTTGCGCCGTTTAACAAGAAGTGATCCCCCTGCACAACATCACATCACGTTCTGCCAACAGGCCACGTTGATCCGACAGTGGCACCGGCCTTGTCCACGGCCCTTGTCACCATGCCGCTGGGATCCGAGCCTTGGCGCAAGCCAGGGTCTTGAAGCTCCAGGGCATGAAGGAGAATGCAGGGAACGAGGTCTTGAAGAAGAAACTCAAAGGCTCCAAGGGAATCACCGTGGTCAGGCTCTGTGAGCCCGAAGCAGCCTCAGGATGCTCAGTGGACGTGTTTGAACCATGAGCACGAGCAGCTGAGACCGAAGCCAACGAGGTCTCCAGATGCCAAGCGTGGCAGGAAACGATCTCTTTGCTCCTCTCATCGCGATGTGATTCAAGTGATTGGATCCAGTCATGAACCCTTCTGCCCAGAAAAGTGCCGTCTTAGCTCAAAAACGACATTGGTCCTGAGACCCGAAGAGGTTGATCGGATTCATGACCTTGCCAAACCATCCCTACTCTTCCCTCATTAAGCCAGCAAACGCATCCTGTCAGTCGTTGCTCAGGCACAGAGATCCTCAGAGTTGCTGGGGACATCGCTAAAGATGACTGCACTGACAGTGCCGATCTGTAGGCGGAATCGACTCGCTCCACCTGACAAGATCTGCAAACATCGTCCCCACAGGAGACGCTGAAAGGTTATGCAGTTGTACCCGTCCGGATGCTCAGAGAAGATGCGAGGGCACGACAATCACGTCCCTAACCGCGTGGCGCCGCCTCACGGGCGATCAGTCCATATGATGTGGCAGATGCACCGGCGCATCCATAGCCTTGGTGCCATGCAAGTCCACCAGCAAGGAAGAGATACATGAAGCGATGTAAGGCCGACACCCTCAATGAAGGACCCTAAAAGACCCGCCTTGCCCATGGCCTCATGGCAGCCAGACATCAAAGTGCCGATGGTAAAGTCTGCACGCAACGAGCAACCCAAGCAAGCAGAATCCTGCCTTCATGAGGCCCCTGTCAAAGGTTTCCTCCCTGAAGCCATTCAAGACCTGCTGCTGGAAAGCTCAAAGACTTCACAGCTGCTCGCATTCACCGTTTTCGGGTGCACATGATTGATGGGTCGGCTCTACTTCTACCCGATTCATCCGTACGACGGGCCATCCAACCAAACTCTCAAGTGTTTCTGATTTGGAGATTCAAAGCCTCGAACGAAAGCAAAAAATGAAACTAGTACAAAGGAATGGGTTTTGGTGCTGCTCAACGCTTTCTGGAACCCTGAATGCACTCCGCCACGAGATGCGTCAATCCATAGGTCGGATGTGAGCACAGCTTGACAGTTCTCCTTTCTGCACGAGTACTGAAAATCACTCAGCAACATGCGAGGCAGTCCCGGAATGATTCAAGAAAAACTGTGTATGCCGAACGAAGCAACACCAAATGCCCTCTCTACCTTGATGGAAAACCTGTAAAAATCCCCGAACCATGCTTGTCTGAAAGTGCACCTTTGGCATCAACTCCGCATCTGCAAATTGTCGCGCGGTGTCTTTGATCAACACTTCCTCTGGCACATGCTCACAGCACACCAACTTACCAAATAAATACGAGCTGTTGTACAGCTGTGTGGGTGTTGGTTGGTTTAAAACTTAAAAAAAATCCATGCCACAAAACAGGCCTCTTCAGAGAGCCTGCTCTCAAGTTTGAGCATGTCCTGGCAAGGATATGAAAACGCGCGGGAACCATGCGCCATGCGCTTGAACAGACAACACTCGCACACAGCTTCGGTAATTCGGCAATGTTGCACCAGAGATCAGAGTCCCAAGCCTTCCAGTCGACTTCGCAGTCCTTGGAACTGCTGAAACTGCTGCCAACGACGACACTGCCAAGGTTACAACTTGGTTTCGCTTCGGCATAGGCAAGATCTCGTTCTAGACCAGATCTTCCACAAAACTACGCCGACCAAGACAACTGCGTCGAGAAGCCCAGTCGTAGGGGTCAGCACCCGGTTTCACAATAGCCTCGGCGATGCACCATGAGCTTGCTGCAGCTCACACAGACCCTTTAAGATTCACGAAGCAAATTGGTTGCACTGCCAACTGATGTCAACACCGCCTTGGCGCAACTAAAAAGCGAGGAAATCAATGCAGAAGTTTCAAATCAAGTATATCAAGTATATCAAGGGCGGTGCAGCTGACACCGGCGGAACATGTGTTGCCAGAGAACCTTACAATACACACTCCTGCAAAAAAACTTGTGGCGCAAACTCCATTCTCAGGCGAGGACTTTGTCTCTTGCTCACAGCTTGGCAAAAGTGTCCTGCAAGTCTTGGTGCGGCAAGGCCTCAAAACACCGCCGTGATGACCACGAAGCCAGCAGCAGTCTAAATATTCCATGTGTTGTGACTCTGCGCAACCGATAGACTCACATGCGTAAAGTCTGAGTGAAACAAGGCCAAAACCCACAAACATGGATTGAACCGCAAAATACATGATGAAACGTTCAGGGACACCGATCTCCAAGTGCCCGACAAGTCTTGGGAATCATGCCAAAAGAGTTTGCGGCACACCTGCCACCAAGATTGTTAATCGATGACACTGGCCCTACAAAGGCATCGTGCTAGCCCCCTCACTCTGCATATCCCAGAATGCTCAAAGTACTTCATGGGACGCTCTGCAATGACATGTCGACCACCGAAATCCACACTTGGCCTGCGAAAGCGTGCGACGACCACCATCTACAGTTCAAATGCTGAAACCAAGCCAAGTATCAGCCATAGACTGTCAGGTTCATTCATGAACCGCGATTCGCGTCTGATTCTCTGCAATCAGATTGGACGCATTCGTCATCACGAGACATGTGAAAATCGAAATGAATGCGATGCATGATGCATGTTTCCACAACATTGCCTGACGACCAAACAAGCCGTCTTTGTCTTTGTTGTTTTTCCGCTCGAGGTGCCCCGACCTCTACACTCTACACGCCAGCCGCACTAAAAAGCAAAATCCCGCACAAAATAAACCCTGGCAAGGAAAACAAAGCCCCCTCGCGTTCTCCACAAGCAACGCATCACGTTGCAAACAAAGGCCTCGGCAAATCAGCGCAATCTGGCCGCACCGTTTTCCCTTGGACGGAGACTTCGTCCCCAAGAGTTTTCCGCACCACAGCAGCAAACGCAGCAGCAAACTTCGCAGCAGCGGAAGCTTTGGGTGGGACTTCAGATGCATCTCCGGTCGTCCCCAGCAGCTCAAGCTGGACCCAGAGCCGGGGCCACAGAGGTCCAGGACAAAATGGACACATTATTCCCCGCAGGATCGCTTTCATTCATTTCTGCTGGGTAAAGGAAATCAATGTCCAATTCCTGCGCCCATTTCTTCTTCATTTTACTATTCTGGATCTGGACATCATAAGTCTAGTGGGAGGCTTTCGTCGAGAGAACCCCTCCCGCTCGGAGAAGGGGGGCAGAGGATCAGAAGTGAGGCCGTCATCGAACAGTGACGCGAGCGACGCCGCACATCTTTTGAAAATGTCGCGGATTCAACAGGACTCACAAAGGTGCAAAAGCAAAGTCCACAGTGGCACAGAAGGGAGAACCGAAAGGACTGCTTCCACCTGCTCCACGGAATGGAACGCCGCCTCCGCCAGCTACGCTGGACGCTACAGAATCACATGGGCTTGGATTTGCCGTTGACCGGAACACGGGGAACTCCTCATGGTGACCATAGTGCGCATACCTCAGCCATGGCCAGAGGAGGTTTTACTTCGGGGGGATTTCCATGTCGGGTCCACAGACCAGAGTGTGCGTGGCAGAAGCAGAAGGCACACCGGCAGTCGCCACATCAACAACGACAGCTTCTGATCAAGGCATCAGGTCCGGACATGGACTACGCATTTTTCTTGTTTCTCTCCCGGACCGACTGACTTTCATCGTAGCAAAACCAGCCATCTATGATCGCCTGATTTGAGCAGTCATACTACTCACCTCGATAGGTAGGCGCCCTCGGATTATTTTTTACAAGTCTCGCAGGAAAGCAAGCTCACAGTCAGGCAGAACGACACTCGTGCCGGCAAAAATGATGATTGTCAGAGGACGGCAACCACAGTGCCTCACAAGGAGAGTTACACACCTAGCATGGCACCCCGAAGCGAAGTGAAGAGAACATTGACTCAGAGCTCGGGCCGAAGTACGGACTCATTGCCTACTTGCACGTACAGAACTTCCATACCGACATTCAGCCGGAGTAGAGTGCAGGATTAGCAATTGCAACAAACGCATCGGCCCGAAAACATCGCTAGCTGCTAGCTAACAGGACAAACTACGTCCACCTCGTCTGCAAATTCCTTGAAGACAAGCACTGCCATCAAAGATACGTAGTCGATGGTGGCGGGCAAGCAGAGGCATGTCCAAACGGGCAAAGGCGACAGCTATGCAGTGTGGACGGAAAACTTGAGCGGAGACGCTTCACCTGTCACAGAGACAATCCAGCAAGCAAGAGCAGGTCGTGCGTGACCTTGTCATCTATTGAGGCGGTTTAAAGAAGTATGAGCCGACCTTGCAAATCACGGCCGTGGCAGGAAGACCCAAGTAGAGAATGCCTGGAGACTAGACACCCCAGCAGCCCCAGCAGTCCAGATTCCAGAGCCGCAGTGGTCTCGCGTGGAAGTTGCAACGGCGCTTGCATCTGAAGCCTTCGAAACCAAAGGAAGAAGGGTTTCCTGCAGAACAAACCATGCAAATATAAACAAGCACCACTACTACTACTACTACTACTACTACTACTACTACGACTACTACTACTACTACTACTACTACTACTACTGCTACCACTACTACTACGACGTTTCCTGCTACTACTACTACCACTACCGCTACTACTACTACTACTACTACTACTACTACTCCTGCTACTACTACTACTACTACTACTACTACTACTACTACTAGGGAGCTAAGATGCTCTCTCTGCTAGCTGGAGCACCAAAACGGTGCGCGGTCTTGAACGGCCGGAGGCAATGCTTCTGTCCTGCCCTCGTCATGCACTCGGATCTTGTGCGACGGTTCACTACTACTACTACTACTACTACTTCTACTTCTACTTCTACTTCTACTTCTACTACTACTACTACTACTACTTCTGCCACTACTACTACTACTACTACTATTACCACTACTACTACTACCACTACCACTACTACTACTACTACTACTACTACTACTGCTACTGCTACTGCTACTATCACTACTACTACTGCTACTGCTACTGCTACTACTACTACTACTGCTACTACAACTACTACTACTGCTACTGCTACTGCCACTAGGACCACCACCACTACCACCACTACCACTACCACTACTACCACAACAACAACGACCACAAACAACTTGAAGGATGTTGGTGGTTCAACGGACGTATCTATTCAGTTGGCTGGAATTGCGAAAGTGAACTTATTGGACTAACGTAAGAAACAAGTTGCGAACTGAAACTTCCGCAACGTGGCAAACCGCTGATTCTGGGCACGTAGCCTGTCTTCCAGAACCAGAGTGAGTCTCAAAACTTGCTATTTTGTGCCTAGATCTCCGGAAGTGTTCTGGAAGACCTATCAGTTATTCGGACGGACTAATCGTCACAGGTAGAGTGTGCGCTAGATTGGAGTGATCTGGTCCTTTTGGCGGCAGTCGGACCCGCCAGCCAAGAAAAGAAACAGGTGAAAACTGGCAAAAGAGAAGTTCCAATCCAAATATCTCCAATCAAGCTCAGAAACGTCCGTTCTTCTAAAGGTGGTGTGCGCTCGGTCGAGAAAGCACTCGCACATAGTTCTTTTTGTGACCGCAGATTCGAGTAATTTGGTCTGGCAGTTGTCGAACAAAAGATAATAAAGCCGCGAACCGCACCAAAGACCATCAAGCAACGGCTAGACGGATTGAGTGAAGAAGTCTGAGAAATGCTCAGCTGAAGAAAAGTATCAGCGGAAGCCATGATGGTGAAAATCTAAACGATGCCGGATCAAAGCCGCCGCACAAGCCACCCCTTCAAGCACCAACACCAAAAGAACAGCAAGCCGCCGCACCTCAAGAAGGCTTCAAGAAAGCCTCAACTCAAGGATTGCAAACTCAAACAAGACGCAATCACCAAATAAAAGAAAAAGGCGCCACACGAAATCGACTTGCAAGAAGGCTTGAAGGAGAACCTGAAGGTCCATCTGAATTTGATTTTTTTCAGCACTTCAAAGCTCTCTTCGCAAAGTGTCTCAGTCTCTTAAGCTTCGCAAGGAGGGAGCCTTTGAAATCTTGCGTCAAACTCTGATCAAAGTTTCGTGTGACTTCTGTTCTTTTGCGTTGGTGTTTGCGTTTGCTTCCCTTGCCTTTTTCTTGTCTCTTGTATTTTCCT